TGTTAAATTTCAAGAACATATGCTCTTGTGTTTTGCGGCATGTTTGGCCATTTTTACGGCCCCAGGCGATTAGTAAGTCGTCGTTAAAATCTCTATACACGCCGATATTGAGCGTGCGGCCTTAATTTGCTGCTGTGTAAGTAAATAGTTCAAGACATGCCTTGTTCGTTTGTAATGACCTTGGTAGGTGATCAGGTGCTTGGGTCGTGTTGTTTATCTGATCGTGTCAGCGGTTGGAAGCACTAACAATCGTAGATCAACCGTGTGCACGCTGTTGTCACGTGGGCGATGTGGTTTGCGCACGAGGTTTCAACTCCTGATCACTTGGGCGTCACATTTTACGCAAAGCCTGTCCGAATCACAGTCCCGCATTTCATAACGTGGTCCATCTTTTGGTCATCACGTAGTAGGTGTACCTTGTTTGTCGTGTCTAGATGGAGAGCGCGTCGCTGTTGTGCTCCAACCAGAAGGAGCAGTCACGCGGGACGCCGCTGTTCTGCGACGCCTACGACTCCCACGCCAAAGCCTTCTGCAAGCGTCTGCGGGCGGTGTGTGAGCACGTCAAGGAGCCGAAGTACCCGCCAGACGCGATCTGTGGCTTCCCGTTGGTCGAGGCAGTCTTCACACCCACTGAACGCTTCTGCTGCACGCCTCGGCAAAAGTGCACTCGTCATGTGGGCTGGGAGAGGAAGAAGCGAGCCAACATCGATGTTGAGCGGTACCGACAGGTGAGGAGAACTCTTGTCACCATCCTCTCCGGAGCCAACCGGTTGCTAAGCCAGTTTTGCCCATCCCGCCATTGTTATCCCCGGGTAGAACAATTCAGGCGTAGATGAGGAAATCTGCGTTGCTTGGGATCCCATTTATCGATGACACGGAAGCTTTAGAACACCGTATACTGACTTAAAACCAAGCCAGTACAGCAGAATATGCAGGATTCGCTTGCGGTTGATGTTAAAAGAGAGTAAACTTGTCAATTGCCTCCCTGATTTGAAGGTGGAGCTCAGGCATTTCGTTATTTGGAGTTCTTTATCTGGATTACATTGATCTAGTTTGTGGTTTGGATTGGCACGCCTCGCCACATTGTTTACTCTATGTTTAACAAAGTGCGATTTCAACTCGCGTGCTGCTAAGCTGCGCGCGTGTTCGCTACCACAACGCCGTTGTAAGCACGCACACACGTCTGTAAGGCGAGTGAACGGTTTGCAGCAGCTCACGTCTTGAGGGAGAAACTGCTATGCACTGGGAACAAGGGTGATGCATTTGAGGATGGATTTAAGCTGGATTAGAAACATAGTACACTCAAGTGCTACATTTCTGCTACTTGGCTTACTAGTATTCATTGTGAGCTGTAAATTTGCCCTACTTTAAAATTTAGGCTAGTAATATCCACCAGTGGTAACGACGAGATTTTAAGTCATCGAAGGGAAAGGTTTGAACAGCGAAATTATCAGAAGGAAATCTGAATTTCTTTCACCGGGATTGCCTTCCACGCTCGAGAGCGCCTGCGATAAGGCAGCTTGATAAGGCATTTTACTGGACGCCTCGTCATCGCAGCACACCACCACGCTTTTAATCAGGTCAGATGGTGCACTTTAACGCATCTTCAAACCCTTTCTAGTTAATGCACTCCAGCGGTTCCTGTTGACCCTTAACATAACGGTTTGTGAATTAAATCGGTCCCATCAATGTAGCACCTACCAGCTTATCCGTGGGTCTTGAACAGCTCTTGTTCCTTTTCCCAAGCTTATACGCCTGGATGAATTACTCCAAGAAGAGGCTCGTTTGCAGCGGTCACTGTCGCAGCGCGCAGGAATTCTTGGCATGATATTGCATCGTACGATCGACGAGGAAAAACTACACAACGAGCGCGAAGGTCCGGATACCTGTTGATTCCCCCGCCCCCTGTACAACCCCCTAGTACTTTTTTTTATTGAAATATTTCCAAATGGCTATCACCTACGCGCGCCTTGTCTGCTTATCGAGGTAATAATGGGTAGAAACAGGCTGACGGGCTTGAGGCGAAACGCACGGCTTTGATAAGTAACCACGAAAACGTCAACAGAGCAAGCTGAGATGCTTGTGTGCACCAAACCCTCACCTAATATGCCCACCATCAGTGCCCAAACCAAACAACGCACTGCCAAAGACGCCACTACCAGGTAAATGGTTTACTAAACGTCATAAAATGAATTGAGAATGTTATATGGCATCAATGTCCAAGTCATCATCATCGTCATCGTTTTCCTCAGACTCACTGGCAGCCTGTGAAGATGTCTTAGGTACGGAGGCGTTGTGAGGCGAATCCTGGTCCGCATTATGACTCTCATCTTCGACCTCGTCTTCTTCAGACTCCGTGTCGGCCTCCTTCAACCAGGTTAACATTGGTGCACAGACCTCGGCAATTTTTGCAGCGACATTTTTGGGGACATAGCGTTTGGCAGACTAAATGTCAATAAATGAATAGGAACTTACATTTTTCTCAAACCAAGAGAGGATAACCTCCTCCTCGATAATGTCGCAATCGTAGAATTCCTTAAGAATGTGACACGACTTGGAGACTAAATTTTCACGCGAGTGCTTGTCTATCAAACTGGCCATTGCGCCGAGAAGGTAACCTTGAGCCTTTTGCTGCTGATCGCCAACTCGAGTAAACTGGAGAAATACGGGCTTGTACTTCCTTATGTCCGCAACTATTGTTTGAGGATCAGACAACAAAACTTCGGCCACAATCAGAACGGCCCTACTGCCAAGATCTAAGCGCTCAGCCTCGACTTTCAAATCGTGACCGTGGGGGGCAACGTCTCCGCTTTGTTTTAGTTGTGTCAGGTGCTTGAAGAAAATATTGGCCCTCTCGGTTTCTGTTTTCTCGACGTCGGCATTAATGGTAAGGCTCCTGGCCATTTCTGAAAGCTCCGCAAGACGCATCTTTTGTGCCTCCTCAGTAGTGTCTTCACCCCAATCGACCTCTTCCTCCTCGTCAGAGGGAGCCTGGCCATTATGTTCTTCGTCACCAACAGGAGAATGATCGTCCTCATCGGCATGTTGCTCTTTCCCGTTTCTAGCTTTCTTTAATTTTTTACCTTTCTTTTCGGCTGATGCCGACTCGTCTACTGGAGGGTTCTTAATAATGAACTGGGTCAGCCGGTGCCTTGGGTCGAGTTGACCTCGGTTCCCGCAGGCACTGCAAGTCGTAGTGACAACTCCAGCCCTCTCCTTAACATTCAATGTTGTTTCGGGATTACCGCAGTTTGAACACAGGACGAACTTATTGATGAAGCCAAAAAGTAACTCTTGAAGTCTTGCTGTGTCGTGAGCACCATTCACAATATATCTGTCGTTTTTGTCATCAACGTGGATCTGAGCACCAAGCTCGCAACCAAAATACTTAGTAACATCTAGACGAGTCAAAGGAAAACAGCAACTTACAAATGGGCTTGCGATATAGACGCTTTGCGATATCAGTCACGTTGACTATCACCGTTTTAATGCCATTGCCTTTACCTTCGACCTATTTAATTAACAAACCACAAAGAGTCACTCACTTTAGCCGAAAGTTGCGGCATTTTGTACCGGTAAAATGCATCGGAAACGTTTTGATTGATATTGAGTTCCATTTTTGTTGACAAGAGCTACCATCAGCTTCCGAATTGTTGTAAGCTTCAACCATGTAACAGAAGGCTGAAGATGTTTAATAATCAACCGGTACTAAAAACATAAGACAAGTAGCGGCACTTACACGACGGAGAACAGCGACGCACGAGAGACCGATGACAACGACAGCCTCAGCATAAACACTAAAACAAGCTAGACAAATCAATCTGCATTATTTTGAATTTAACCACAAATAAGTATACAGCATAAGAGAAAAATTCAGTTGTTTTTAGATAATTTTAGGCATATTTATTATTAAGTTCAATTTAAATATATTAAAAACTAGTGTGTGCTATCCCAAACAACAAGTTTATTTTCGGTTTAAAAATATTGAATTAAAATTACATATAAAACGGCCTTTTTTATCAAAGTTTCATTGGACTAATCAAATGCAAATGCAGCAATTTTTTGTTTGGCAGTGTATTATTTACCCATAAAGCTTAGCAAAATTGAGTAAATTAATTTGTTATTACATTTCTGGCACGCTAGAAGTATTTATAATAAATATGAAGTTAATCAATGTTCTTCCAACGCATTTATTAAGGTTCAGTTGTAAACTGCAAAGCTTTATTTCTAGTCCTGGGTACCTTTTACCAAACTGTTTGGAAGCCTAAATTTATGTCATCGGATTCATCCATGAATATCTGAACTGCTTTGTTCTAGAAGCGACCAGAAAATTATCAAAAAATGATGTGTAATTTGTGGTATTCCTTAAGAACTTTTGCCTAGGAATCCTAAGTTCTAGTTTAAAAATAAACGAAGCTATTTTATCGTATTAAATTCAATCTGGTAAAAGCGTACTAAGGGTATTTAAGTAGATGCATAGTTCTGTAAAGGAGTAGGACTAACTATGGGAAAAATCTGAAATATATACACATTCTAATGCTCGCCGATGGATATTTGGCACTAAATGCAAAGAAAAATACAATTTAGCATATAATTCACTAACTCTAAACTTTAGTCTTAGGCTGCAGTGATCCGTTTTTTCTTGTAGTATTTGTGTATTTCGTGACCAATAAACCAAATGGATAAGAATCTTGGTGGTAGAACAGATTCGGAACATCGTTTTTGGTTTATAATCTAAGATTTTGGATTCGCAAGTATTGATGACTATCGGATGGATAAAGCAAGGTCTGATGAGATCCTTTACATATATAAATGAAGCTAAGGTCTTTTGACAAAGCTTCAGCTCTTGAAGCACTGACAACCTTTTCTTCGGGCCATGAGGTAGAAAGATTTTACCTCTGTCATTGGAGTGACCAACTCTGCAGTGTGATGAGCACGACAAAATTGGACCCTTGACATCTTGCCTGCCTACGTATCACCGAATATGCAATCGGCATTCCAAAACGGAACTTAGGTTCAGTTTTCCTGTATCAGCTAATTTAGACCATGTAAACTGCAATTGAATCGGCATCCGCCTTTGCTAAATCTGAAACAGAATGCAGATTCATGAGATTTCGAAAAGAATTTTTACTTTTGATTTTCCTCCTTCTGCAATTTCATAATTTTTGTCGTTTCTCAAGTTTTAAATGACGTAACTCGGTGACTTCCAATTCCAGCTCTGTAGTTCAATAAATGAATCTATTAGTAAAATACACAGCTAACAACTTTGTATATAGCAGCAGCTTAAGCACTAAAAATCGTGCTTGCTATAGTCGACAAACACCACCAGTGAATCAAATAATCGTAACACTAGTTGGGCTCATGAAATGCCTTTACTCGAAGATTATGTACAGAGCATGTTTGTTGCATGCATTTTATCAGTTTATGGCTATTATTTTATGATAACCCATTAAAGTTTTCTAAACCACCGATAAACATCTACTATTCTACTATTCTGTGTTGTCTGTTTAGTTCGTCTAATTTTGAAGATTCAAAAGCAGCTCAATTAGAAAACGAAAAAAATGCAACTTTGGATTAAACACCAACATTTCAGTTATAGCCAGTCGTTCTCATTTTAACACAATGGGCTTTTTAAAATTTTATCCAAAGACCTAACAATTGCCATAACAGAAATGGAAGATCCAAAAAATATGACTTTGCACAGATTATTGGTTTTTTTGTTTCACGTACATTTTTTCAAAATAAATTCCATTATATAGTTTTCAAGCAGAAATGTAATGCAAAATATCAACTATGTCCAAAGATTCGCTACCGAATCGTATACAGAGTTATTATTTGCCATCCAAAAATAAAAAGAATTTATTTACAAACTCCTCAAGTCAGCCCAGTGCATTTTTAAATCAGCACACTTGAAAAACAAACTTCTGAAAAATGGGTCATATCAGACGATTTTAGGAGGCACGAATAACATGATATTCATTCTTCCAGTGGTGGTCATTTAGATGTCGCTGTGTGATTTCTCTAAACTCTGGTCATTCAATGGCAAAATTTGCACCATATTTACTGAAAATCGGGCCTACTACTAACTTGTAAGACATTTGTCCTACTTAAATCCTAACCGTCGTAACTATCCAAATAATACTTAAAGCCATTCATATAGTCTGCTGATAATTAGACTGTGCTATTTCTCATAGAATCTCAAGCATTTAAACATATGAAAAAAACCAACATTTTTCTGTCACTGCGTGTAGCCGTATCTGCATGCACACTGCGGATGTACATTTAAGAAAACGTTGTAAACTCTTATCGTAAATCATTGCTACCTAATTTTGGATTCGATACACCATCAGATTTAGATGTATTTAAATAATAATAGATGTTTGAATTTGTCTTTTTTAGTTTTTATGCTTGCTCAAGTTGATTTGTTTTAGTTTATAAAATTGAAGATTCAACCAAAACACGCGATTCTTCGACTTCGGTCTTTGATTGTCTGCCAATGCGTCAGTCTCCGCAAGTCACTCATGTTCTTTTTGATCTTGATGGACTTCTAATTAATTCGGAAAATATATACACAGAAATTGTTTCAAACTTTTTAGCGAAGCATGGAAAACAATTCACCTACCACGCTAAAAAGTTGATGATGGGTCGTAAAACTCTAGAAGCTGTCACGGCCTTGAAAGAGTTCTATGAATTACCGATGTCTATCACTGAAATCAACGAAGAACTTAAGTCACGCCTTCCTCCTGAGATTTGGCACAAGGTCGATTTACTGCCTGGAGCGAAAAAATTAGTAAATCATCTTTATTCCAATTCCGTGCCGATGGCCATCGCAACAGGATCCTTCTCTTCTCAGATCAAAGACAAGACCTGGAATATTGGAGATGTCATGAAATGCATTAGTCATGTAGTAGCTGCTGCTGATGATCCAGAGGTAATTGTTTTGTTTGTTGTTTATTGTCGCAGATTACCATGGAATATTCTTACTGCCTTGTCATTTGTTTGGTAGCATTCGATTGTGCAGGGGTTAAAAGTATACCAAAAGTTGTGTTTTGTCTCGGAAAAGTGACTAGTGTGTATTTAACTAAGTGGGCACAATCACTGCAAAAATGTATTCTTTATTTTGGATTTTTGGAAATAACTTGCAAAA